GGTGGCTGACATGTGTATGATTTCATCTATGGGTAGCCACCCAAATGCCCATTCTATCTGGTTTGCTGAGACTGAACGCAACAAAGTGACCCACTCGGCGACCCCTTCTAGCAGGCTAAACCCATTGACCCTTGTGGAAAACTCTTCTATACAAGTCTTTTGTGACGACTCATATTTCAGGAACTGTGGGCGATGACATAGGTGTTCTATCATCCACATTTGCAGTAGTACATTGCAACCCTCAAAGAAACCTCCTCCGATTTTGCAAACAGTGAGAGCGCGGAAGATGTTTGCTATAATCATTGGCGCCAGAGTGCTGTTGTTTTGCTTGAGCAAAGTGCTGACGACCCCCGTGACTTGTATGTTAATTTTTGCGTCTTTTCTAGGGAATATCAGAAGGCCCAGAAAGGCTACCATGAAAGCAATACACCTATATCCTCCCCATTTCAGTTGGTTTTCCCCGCTGCAAATCTTTCCCTCGGGATTGTTGAACCCTCCAAAATGACCGTATCTGTCGTACAAGAATGCAAAACTACAAAAACCTTCAGATAATTCTGGGTTGTGTATAACTCTGCGGATCTTCACGGTGTCTAAAAATTTGTGTATGGTCACGGTCCTTGGTGCAATAAGATACTGCTCTCTCATAGGGACTTTGGGACTCCCGATGTATCCTGCCAGTTCTTCCAGTGTTGGTGTGAGCTCAAAGTCTGAGAAATGAAATACATTGTGTGTTGGGTCCTAGAATGAGATTAACTCCCTTATAATGTCCCCTCTCGGAACAATGTCCAGTAGCCCAACTAATTTTCCTAAGTACATCTTGACTGTATCTCGCCTTGATTCTTCTAAGTCGTTCCACCACATGCGTAAGCCTAAAGGGATATCATTTACAATGGCCTCAGATGAATTCCTACTCGTGCTCATTCTGCACATTTATTAAGGGATTTAGACAAAGCAAAATCTTTATTTGACTTAAAAACTAATTTTTCTATTTTTCCTAATTTTGAGTAAAAGGAAAATTGATTCTTTAAAATACGGCCTTTTGACTCTTCAGGCATGAAGATTTTAAGGTTGTAGAGATTTAACCAGCCGAAAAAAAACAAAGGTGGCTGCTTATGCAAAGTCAGCCTTCCGGCGCCCCTTTAGGGAATGTTCGGCTATTTTTGCAAACATGGCATCGCCTGACTCCTTATTATTTATTTTTTGGCATTTTTGTAGATAAATAAACAAAATAAAAAAATCATTTTTAAAAAAAAAACAAAACATTTTTTTTTCATGGTAATACAAACTATATATATATATATATATATATATTTTTATTTTTTTTTAAAAAAAATAGGCAATTAATTCTCTACATTGTTACTTCGTCCCTTTTTTCACAATTTCAATATTTCTGATTTTCCAAAGCCGGTCAGCGTGCAAGTCTAAAGCAAATAAATGCATAAAACAAACAGGATGCAGCAGGATGGTCTTTACATTTCAGGTTGCTAGTCCTAGACGGACCCAACCCCTGTGTTGAGTCCCCTAAGTCAGATGCGACGTGATGCAAATAAGAATTTTCCTACTAGGGATCAGGCATGAAGTCATGTTTTACTAAGTTTCAAACTGGGCTTTGTTCTAGACCTGGCTTACCCGAGTGGACAACTCGAGTCGAGGAGGGGGCTACGTACCGGGGACCCGCGGGGTCATCCGACTTTGTAACTTATCCTAGCCTCTTTCTTATTTCAGGTATTGACACTAATAGAATAGGGAGTCTCGACCAGCGAGCTTCTCCCCGGAGGTAAGAAGAGAAGGGTTTCGGCACAGTTTATATACAGTTCACATAATATCAAGGCGGTAAAGGCGATTAATTAGCACATTTAATCCAAAACATGTAATAAAATCAGATAATAAATAAAGCCAAATAATAACAATTATTCTAAGCTCGAACTCTAACCCTGAACTAGTGGTTCTGAGCAGTGCCCAGTAGTCCCCAGCGGAGTCGCCAGAGCTGTCACACCTCCTTTTTACCCGCGCCCGCAAAGGCGTAGAGGAGTTTTTCCAATTAAAGGACAATCGAAACGGGATTATTATTAAAGAATCAGAGTCGCCACTTGGGAGATTTATGGTGTCCCAAGTCACCGATTTTAATCCCGAATCGAGGAAAAGAATGACTCTGTTTAACAGTCCGCGAACCAGAAATCCGAGTAAGGAATTCTGTTAACCCGGGAGAAGGTGTTAGGCATTCCCGAGTTCCGTGGTTCTAGCACGGTCACTCAACTGTCATATCCAGCTTAATTATCTGATTTTTACATGATGAACTTATGTGCAAATTTTAACTTTTAACCGCTTTTATTATTATTATTATTAAAGAGAATTGCAACGTCGTGAAAATCCATCTCGAACTGCGTCACATAAATATATCAGTAGTTTTTGACACATTCCGACTCCGTTGAGATTTGGATTTGGGTCACATAAATGTGCACCCGAGTTTAAGGAGGTAATGTTATTAAAATACGCGCCTAAATAGTCTAACGCGTTATTATTTTGGGGAAGGCCGTGCAATTAGCTAAATGGCCCATCCCGAAGTCTAAGTATTTTTAATATATACACTTATGAGGGCCCCGCAACCCATGCATTTTTATTTGGCGAGGCTCATCTCTAGGGTAGAGACATGCTAATATATATTGACTACATCAGGAAATACTAATGTCATAAAAATAGCAACTTTGGGATGTTTTTGTTTTAGTTCAAAATTCTATGCAATTATAAGTAATCAAAACGAAACAACAGAAAACTAAAGAAAAGAACAAGATCAAGGTATTAATTAATTTATTCAACTATATTTATTTTATATTTTTTGGTAATCATGTCATATTTAGAAGACTAGGACCACGTAATTTATCAACTTGTCAAGTGACATATAAATGGTTTATTTCTAATGGCCTTATCCTTACTTTATATTTTAGTATGAGTAGGGGTTTATTTATGTCACCATCTGAAAAGTTCATATATAGGCAAATAAATAGAAGAAAAAAAAATCACATCAAATTTAATTTGGACTATTACGATGACAGCACGTCAATTGAAATATTCAAATAACCTTGCAATTATAGAGTATAGGAAACCCCATAATAGTCATAAACATCGACAAATAAGATACTCCTATTAGTAGCGCCAAAATCATCCAAATGATGAACAAATAAGCAGTAGTTCATCCTATTTCCCTTTGACCATTTCTTACATCACTGCCACTTCAATGTTCCATTCGAACACCAAATTAATTATGAAATCTGAAAATATAAGAAGAAACAGAGTGAAGAACAGACCTTTTAACCTCGACGAACTCAGAACGACAAACGACGACCTCGACGGATTGAACCTGAAGAACGACGAGATAGCAGCTGAGTTTCCAGGGGTGGTCGTTTGACGATGAAACTGGACGGAAATGGTGTTTGCGAGGCTGTGCGATGGGCTGAAGAAGGAAGCAGTTGTGTTTGGTGTTCGATGGATGACGAAGCAGCTATGATTGTTTGAACGTGAGGGAGGCATCGTACTGGTTTTTCCGGCGACTGGAGGGGTCATTTGGACGTGAGGCTGGAGGCTGTGTGACGACGAATTGGGCGACGAAGCTGGTGGTGGTCGTAAGGGCTGTTTGGTTCGCTGGTGGACTATTTTGCGTCGCTGCCTGGTTGACGGGGAAGGTTGGATGTTAGCTTTGGAGAAGAAGAGAGGTTTTTTCTTTGGGGTTGTTTTCTCTCTTGTGAGGAAGAT